AACACATTCAGTAAATTTCAATCTTTTTCTTTATAGAAAAACAACAACAAACAATTATTGATCAAATAGAAACAAATGTAGAAACATTTCGTTGTACAATATATTCAACAATTCGATCAAATATTGGTGTTGAAGAATGTGCACATAAGTTACTTAATATGAATTTGGATCCAGAACAAGAAGTATGTTTTTGAAAATATTTAATGAATTTAATTGAATCAAAGTTTTTAGAAGGAATTATGTCAAATAATTCTTGATAAATGTGCAAAAAAACGAAGATATAAACAATTTTTTGGTTTACTTGGTCAACATTTTTGTTCATTAAAAAAAGAATACGTTGAATATTTTGAAGAAATTTTTCAAGATCAATATAAAATTATTCATCGTCTTGAATATATTGATTTAAGAAAAGTTGCAAAATTTTTTGCACATTTACTTGCTACTGATGCAATATCATGGAGTGTATGTATTTATTTAATAAAAAAATCAAAATAAAATAATGATTCTTTTCTAGGTACTTCGTTGTATTCGTTTAACTAAAGAAGATACAACATCATCATCACGTATTTATATAATAAATTTATTTTTGGAATTAACTGAATTACTTGGTTTAAATAAACTTAATAATCGTTTAACTGATCCGTATGTTTTTTATTGAAAGATGAAATATAATTGTCTATTGTGATATTTTTTTTATTATATTGTAGAACATTGACAGACTAATTTCAAGGTCTTTTTCCTTGCGATAATCCAAAAAATAGTCAATTTTCAATCAATTTTTTTACATTGATTGGTCTTGGTGAATTAACGTAAGTGTTTGATTTATTTTAATTTAATATTATCCTTGTTTTTTTTTCTTATATATAGAGATCAATTACGAGAATTTTTGAAAACGAATTCTACTTACATCAGCGCCACTTTAATCAAAAGCGAAAAGAATTAGAATTGAAATAAAAGAAGATAAAGATCATGTTGGTATTGAAGCTTGTCTTTCTCAACTTGAAAATGATGAAACGAAAAATAAAACTGGCAAATGGAGAAACAAGTGGAAAAATGATCATTTTAAAATTTTGTGTAAATAGATTTTCTTGATAATAAACGATAGGAGAGCATATGAAATTTCTTTGAAAATCTCAAATCAAAACATATAAGAATGGACCATTACATCGGACAATTGTGAATACCAAACATAGCATAGATTATTTCTGTTATAATAGTTAAAATGATGAATCCGATCATGAGCTTATGCGTAATTGCTATCTCTGGTAGAGTTGTTGCCGATAACGGTGAATGACCGATTCAATAGAGGATTGCTTACCGACCGGTATGAAGCTGTTTTGGGGTTTTTTCAAGCTTTGTTTTCCAGAAAAGTGTTTTATTTTTGCCAATGAAACACTGCAAAATATGTCGATACTGAATATTCCAATTTTCAAGCAATCACTTGAATATAATATGTGGATCGATTAGTATGATTTAATCCGATTAAAAGAAAGTTTCCATGATTTCGTTGTATTTCTCGTGAATTATATATCGAACATTTTGTAACATTTTTTCTGAAAGACGATCTAAAAGGAATGTTGAAGTGTATAGAGTAGAAATTTGAATTTAACTCCCTCTCCTTCACATTGTGACAACTGCTAGCCAGAGATCATCATAAAATGTCACAGATATTACTGACATACCATCAAAGACTTTATATCAGTAACGTCTCTTTATAATATATGAACTACTTCATAGTTACATTTCTAGAGAATTAAGTAATAGGATGACAAAGAAATACATCCTAAAACAGATAGAATAAACCAATATCCTAGTGATTAACAACGGCGACTGCAACATGTTTCATATTTGACTCCCCGAAGAATTGCACTAAAACTTTTTCATATTAAAATCATTAAAAAATTTTATTATAATTCACATATGAGAACTAGTGATTTTTCAAAAGTACTTTTTACCAAAATGCAGCCCGTTCAATTCTGCATCAAATGGTATATGCCATATTTTTCTATGATTGTTTAAGAATGAAAAACAATACTAAAAGTCTCTGAAACTCTTCGGCTCTGAAATAAAAATATTTGTGTAAAAACAACTCAAATAACAGTGTTGGAAAATAGTATTTATCTCAAAGTTATGGTTTGTTCTGACAGTTATCTAAATCACTATTTGTAATATCTTGACTGGGTGTGGGTTAGAGATGAGCACAGGATAGGGTAAAACTATATAATTTATGTTCTGTGCTCATATCTAATTCTTACATATTTTTTCGAGGATGGGTGGGTGTGGATGGGTGTGGGTGTGGGGTGTGGGTGTAAAGAGTAGATTGACATCAACACCCACATTCAAACACCTCACACTCGAACTCACGCCCACCCCCACTCCCACGTCCATAATTATGAAAACATTATGTAGAAAAATAAATAAGTCTATACTGTGTCTCTTATTCTTTTCTTGATTATTTTATCTAATCACGCATACCAGCAAAATGAGCGAAACATCGGTGAGCACATGTATATATACATGTTTGTTTTTTCGTTCTATGTATACTCATCGTCTTTTCTTCACCGAAAAAACTAGTGGTAAACCACGGCTGACCGGTGGAATTTGTAAACAACCGCAGTGTCATTTAAAACCGGCGGTTTTGAGAAATAACGCGGTTTACCGCTGAAACTGATTCAGTTTTCGCAACACGGACTGTCAATTACTCTATTCAATTATATTGTTTTTACCGCATTTATATGAGATCTTATCTAAAAATTTGGGAAAATCCAAGAAGCGTTCGAACGAAACTTTTGTACGCTCAAATTTCAGCAAAAGTAAAAATAAATAATAATGAAAATCATTTTAAATGGAAATGGTCCTTCACAATTCCTTGTGAAAAAAATATTAAGCACAACGGGTTCGAGATTAAGGAGAAAAGTGACCCTAACTGTTGAATTGTGGCCGATTTTCATACCAGTGAACAACCAAATTTGCATTACTTTTCAGAAAAATTCATTTGTAAGACTTGACACTAATTTGATAAAAATTATGTAAATCGACAGAAATCTTATCGCTCTATTCAGACACATACCAAAGAAAAGAAGGTTATATGTTTAGAAAACCAAAAATTTAAAAAAAAACAAGCATAAAGTCACCAATGAAGAAAGCCTTCATGAAAAGTTTCCGAGAAATTCAAGAAATTCTTTGTATAAATATGAAATAAGTCCATTGAAAAATAATTTGTTCGATAGAGAAACGTACAATCAACTATTCTGCTTAAAAATAAAAAGCTTGAGGATCCCAATAAGTAATAGTTACTGACAAAAAATAATCTCAGAAATTATCTGGGCCAAAAAAATCTTCATGATTACTTTTCGAGGTTTACCGGATTTTTTGCACTGGAACTCAACAAAATAAAATGTAAAACTATATAGTTCGAGAGTAATCGATGCTCTATCGAACTGTATCAAAAGAAAAATCCTCCAATGTGTTGCATAAATATAATAAACCGTAGAAAATGAGCAAAATAAAGTAATCAACCTGTGCTGTAGGTACATAAATATATTCGTGTCAAATATCTTACTATATTTTATTTATTTAAGTTAAAGGCGAACAATTTATAAGAACATGCATACCCTGAAAGCAGAAAATGCGTTTTGTTTTGCATAATTTGTAGAGCCATAAATTTCTTTTTTTTTCTGATGGCAGCACGTGTCCTTTATGATGGAAGTCGACTATAATCAAATAGAATGCAAAAGAAATGAAGCAATATTATTTTCAGTCTTTCTTTTGCTAAAGAAATGATTTCATTCATTACCTGTTCGTTTCAAGGACTCGATGATACTTTTGAGTGTTTTAGTGGATCATTTGATTGAATTCAAGATTATTCTGTGAACAAGTATGATGTCTTGCATATTCATCATTAATTTTCAAATTAAAATTCTATAGTGAGCCGTAAAAACCATTGATGATGAGAAAATAAATCACTGGAGGCATGAATACTGAAAGGGCCTATTTTCAACAATTTCGTGTTTCTTATTTTTCCACCTCATCAACATTACTAGTAAACTTATAGAATCCCAGGTCGAAAAGTACCGGCCGGTTCCGGCAGGAAAACACCGGAAATCAACGGAACATGGAAGCAGTATTCCGGCCGGAAATTTTTCGGATTTTTTTCCGGTGGATTCCAGCCAATTCCTGTTCTTTCCGGCAGGAACCGGCCGGAAATCCGCCGGAAAAAGTCCGAAAAATTTTCGGCCGGAATACTGCTTCCATGTTCCGTTGATTTCCGGTGTTTTCCTGCAGGAACCGGCGATTTTTCCGCGTCTTTCCTGCCGGTTCCTGCAGTATCCGGTGACCGGAACGATCGACCTGGGATATAAAGACTAGTAGGAAATCGATCATGCTATATGAAAAATTATATGCAAATCATAACAGAACTAATCGAATGTGACAATCACATTTAAATAGATATGACAATAAAAAATTCAGAGACATTTTTACACATTTAGTCAATTATTTTCTATTTTCTTGTTGAACATCGAATCAAGAGCTTACGGCAAATGTTTAAATTGTTATTTCACTAGTATGCATGTTAGAAAACAACAAAGAATGCACCCGCAACACTACTAAGCCAATAATGACAAGGCAAACTTCTTTTGCCATCAAATGTATAAAAAACGTAATGACAACGTGTGGCTGAGTTTCTATGTAATCAAAAAAAAAGAAAAAACTTTAAATTAAAGGATGACGACGATGCTGACAATGCAAAGTTGTTCACTGTTGCGCAGAAACGATAAAACACACCGGAATTGTAATTATACGATGAAGCACACATATAAAAAGGCAAGGCTATAACTCATACTGTACAATAAATCAAATTTTCGTCTCGACAACTAGAATCATTTTTTAACTATTGATTTCTACTCGATATCATGACTGACATTTATTCCATAAAAGCTGGTACTGTATTTGCATGGTTCATGCTGGTATTGGTTGTCCGCCGTTTGGTTCTGGTCGTTATGCTAGTAGTGTCGCGGAAAATTAAACCACCTCAGCCCGGTTCACGACCTCCCGAAGATATCCGCATGATGAGCAACAATAAAATTTCAGCAGAATCAACTTCGCCAGATAAATTTGATAGAGCAGCACGCATCAATGGTGCTATCAGCAATGATTCAGAAAATGATGCATACTTTCTCATACTTTATTTGGGAACGGCTATTTTTGCCTACTCAGTGAATGCTGATATTGTAAGAATGATAGTCTATGGTGCTATTTACTTGATTGCCCGTATTGTACATTCTTTGATGTATGTATTGGGATTGCAGCCGTTCAGAACCTTGGCATATCTGGTTGGTTTGTTGTGCACATTTGCTATTAGTCTAGATCTTGTAATTACAATGTCACGCAGCGCAAACTGAGTTAATCTGATCAATGCGAACTTTTTCCTTTATCTATTAACTGACAATTGCTTTCTTTTTGTTTTGACAGTATTTATTTAATTCTGTGAGACAACTAATTTATTGATTTGAATCTACAACTTAACAAAATTAATAAACGAAAAAGTTTGCTGGAATAATAAATATATAACTTGATTCATATTATTGCTATCTGTGCACACGAGAAACAAAAGGAGAATAATAATAAACTACAGTGGTTTACTGGTTCTCACAGAAATAATTCATCATGATTGTGAGATCCTTCAAAGAGTACAATGAAATATAAGTAAAAGACTTGAGTTATTATTTTCAAAGATATTGTGTAGGAATGCTTGAATGACGTTCATTATTATTGAGCGTTATTTCTGTTACATAAAAGATGAAATTGGAATAGAGGAGACAAAAACTGCACTTTTTCGTTGCTTTTTATCATTTAATAGTAAATTATGAATATTATTTTCTCATAATCAAAATGTCCAAAAAAACTTGTTGCACTTAAAGAACCAAACAACTGCGTACATTGTTTTTATATTTGCAAAAAGAGTTCAACAAAATACAACTCACATGTCTGTACTTTCGCCTTTACTTTCTTTTAAAACAAACAGACTGTAATCATGTTCGGTAAACATCCATAACGTAGAAACACATAAGTGCTAACTTCTTGTTGGAAGAAAGTACGTCAATCGACAAACATAAGCATAAATTTTAAATACGTAAACAAATTTTGCCATCGAAGGGAGTTATTCTCATACAAAAATCAGTACATAATTATAATCAACAAGAAAATAGGGTATGGGTGTGAGTGTGGGTATGGCATGTGGATGGGTGTGGATGTTGGTGAAGAGTAGATCCACACTCACACCCACACCCATACCCACACTCATATTCCACACCCACATCCACATCCACACCCACACTCATATCCCACACCCTGCGGACCCGGTCAATTCAAAATTTTCAGACCCGGACTCAGATCCGAGCTGGTTCGGGTTCGGGTCCGATCCGACGGGCTCTATTCCCGATACAATGAATAATTTGAGATTCAAACATTATCGGATGATTCAACATGTTCTTTGTCTATCGTTTACTGTAATCATAGGTATAATCCGAAAAACTCTTTCAACCCACCATCAATATTTCATTGAAATTCAAATTCCATTTTATTTTAATAAACATATCTGAATTTTTTAGTTGAGAATGAAAATCATTATGATTTTAAAAAGTTGCGTGATAGTCTTATTGAAAACGATATGTTTGATTTAATTGAAACAAAACATTCAAAACATCATGAAATGTTTCGACGTAATCATCTTACTGAACTTGGTCTTGGGGATAATATTGATGGTAAATAAATGTCAATCAGTGATATACTTGATATGAAACATAATGATCTTCGACAAGAACTTAAACAACGTGAACGACAATTTAAAAAAGCATTTATTCAAAAAGTTAAAGATAAAGAGGCTCAATTAAAAGAAACAGAAAAACAAGAAATTATCTTAATAACTCATTTGTATTTATTTTTTCTTTAGATAAATGAACAATCAACAAATATTAAAAAACAATATAAAGATCAAAATGATAAATGTAATGAAAAATAGCATATAGTTGGGCAAAAAATTAATATATTCGAACAATATAAACGTGCTAATATGGACACAATAAAGAAAAGCACAAAAAAGAAATGAATTTTTTTTCTTTCAGATTTTTTTTTCGGCAATTGAATTTATTTTCGTTTTCATCAGATAATGAATACCTCGAAATCTTCTAATTCTGGCGTTGTATTCAAGCCAGTTTATCGTCGTTCAGAACGAAAACGTTTAAAAGCCCGAAGAAAGTCTTCATCATCACACACTAAATTAAAATGTGTCGTGTTTATGTGTAGTGAATTATTGTGTCGCACACTCCAGCAGAAAAATGTGTCGTGCTTAGAATGTGTCGTATACGAATTTGTCGCGTTCTGTTTGCTGACTATTCGTTCACCGTTTTATTCTGCACACTTGGTGATATATAAACAACGTGGTTGAACATAGAAAAAAACTTCCAATTATTTTTATTTTCTAGATTATTTCTCGATTATTTTTTTTATCGAGAAAATGCCAATCTCGATCAATGATCTTTAGAGGTCTACTCTGAAGCGGTCTGATACAAATCAGGTCAACTCGAGATTGGACAGATCCCAGGATCTGACCAGATTGAGTCTTCAGAATAGAAATAATTAAATGGAATTAAATTGAAACAGCATCAAAATATGATTTTCCAAAAGGACCAATAGGAAATGTGTCGCATGTGTCGTACGTAATGTGTCGTGGTCCTGCTGGAGAAAATGTGTCGCAGTGAGCTCCTCGTGTCGCACTTTAATGTGTTGTACAATGTGTCGTAAAACACGACACATGCGACACATTTTAACTTAGTGTGTGGGATTGATCGGAAATTAAGAAAAACTTTTACTTAAATAAACACCAACTATTGACTGGATGTTGAGATTAATCTAAAGTTAAGAAAGAAATTTATTTCAAGAATGCTTACTGTTTAATGCGAATTTTAGATCAATCCAAAACAATCCTCGAAAAAAAATTATTTAAATAAACACTTCCTGTTGATTGGATGTTGAGATTAATCTAAAATAGAGAGAAAGATTGTTCATTTAAAAAAACGACCACTATTCATTCGCACTTGAGATTGATCTAAAATGAAGAAAAAGAATTGTATAACGTAAGGGGGTGTCTCTCCAAACATATTCTCAAACATTGCTCGTCTGTAGAGGATACATTCAGTGATATGTCTGTAATAAAATGTGGATTAGTAAGCATTTGACTGACTTATTAATTAATCCAGTGGAAAATTAATCTAATATTTTAGGTCAAAAGGAATTTTAAAAACGCCTAGTGGTCAGTATGAATGTTGGTTTTATGTAATTCTGGTTTAATTTTATAAACTATTTGGACATATAAATTGAAGCAAACAAATCTCACAAGTTTTTTCATAGTTTAACTATTAATTGGTCACGATTAATGCCAATTAGTAAGATGCTACTGTAAAGAATAAAATTTCCTAGTTTCACGGTGAATAGAAAAAAAATCGTTGAATATGAAATTCAATAGAGCTTTTCAAGTTTTATCGATTGCATCATAAAGTTTTTTTTATTATGATTGTTTTTCTCAAGAGAAAAATCTATTCTAAAACATTAATAGTGTAGTATTAGTGGCGACTCTTTCATTCATAGATAAAAGGAGTCATTGATTACTTCTAAGATGCGTGCACCAAGAGTTTTTTTCCTAAAGAGAGAGTTATTATAATATCGTTGTACATGCTTGGTGCTATTTACTCAATAATGGACATATATCAAAAAAATAATAAATATTCATTCATTCCTAATAACAGATTGATAACAATGAGAAGCTTGTGAAACCGCTCACAGCCACATTTTTTAATACCGCGGTTATTATTGAATAGACCGAGGTTTATGAAACCAGTGATAGATGCTATATTGAATAACGCGGTTATTATGCAACACATCGCGGTTTATGAAACCGATGATAGCCGCAATATTTAATACCGCGGTTATTATTGAACAAACCGTGGTTCATGAAACCAGTGACAACCGCTATATTGTATACCGTGGTTATTATTGAACAAACTGCGGCTTATGAAACCGGTGGCAACCGCGGTTTTCTTTAACGCGACGCGTAAAACCACGGTTATTTAGATGATACCACGATTGGCCGCGGTTTTCTCCAAAACTTTTTTTTCATGGGATAATATTACTAAGCTGAATACCGAGGTTATCATGCGCTACACCGCGGTATACGAAACCGGTAACAATCGCTATGTTTAAAACCACGGTTATCATGCACTACACCGCGGTATATGAAACCGGTAATAACCGCTATATTTAATACCGCGGTTATCATTGTACTACACCGCGGTATATAAAACCAGTAACAACCGCTGTATTTAATACCGCGGTTATCATGCACTACACCGCGGTTTTCTTTAACGCGATGCATAAAACCGCGGTTATTCAAATGATACCGCAATTAACAGCGGTTTTCTCCAAAAATTTTTTTCATGGGTACACCCACACACTATTAAGTTGAAAATTTGTAATACATTAGAAATGAATTCAAAATAAAAGATTTGATTGATTCGTATATAGATTATTGTTTGTGCTGCAATGCAGAATAATAAACATGACAGATTCTTCAAATATTCTTGAACTTGGGAAAGATTTGTTTTTGAGTTCTTCGTATCTACTAAAATTCGAACTTACGTATTTTTTTATCTAAACTTATCTTATTTAGCACTTCAATTAGCCTTTCTACAAACTACTTGTTTTTTTGAGATTCAGGAATAAATTACTCAATAATGAGTATGATGCAAAATTAATGGCATAAAATACTTTCGAATGATGTATGATTTATATTTGACACACATTCGTAAATTGAATTAGATGAATAAAAAAAGAAAAATACTTACACAAAAAATTTGCCATTTTTTATATGAATCAGTCAAAAACATCTTATGCATGGTAGTTAAGTATAATTAACTATCGTTATTATCTAGCAAGATGTTTTTAACAAATTCATATAAAAGTTGCAAATTTATTTTGTCTCATTTCACTCAGAAATGTGTGACGAACATAAATGATACACCGTTTCCTATCAACTGATAACAAAATTGTTTTTCCTCACGTTCAAATTCTATTATATCTCCTTTTATTGCAAAATTCAAACAATAAAAAATGAAATGATTTTTAAATATATTTCAAACTCGAACTAACGAAATCAGTGAATATGTTGAAAAAATTCGATATAAAAGAAAATTTCATTTACGATAAAATTCGAGTTAATCACAATTTTTCACATTATCAGTTAAATTTTAGTTAGTTTCAAAATATTTGAAAAAAATCAACAATGTTTTGTTTTCAACATTGAGAAAAACCAGATTCTAATCAAGTTCATAAATAAAAAGCTTTTGTAATTTAGAGCAGTTCAATATTGTTTAAAACAAATGAGAAGAACTCATTTCAATGAAATCGATGTTTATTTTTACTTCATACTTTTGTTTCATTTCAGTACCAATGCGTGCAAGTTCCATTGATATTCATCCGAATGCAAAATGGTCACAGAATGGTATCACTGTTGCTGGAGGAAATGGACTACGCAGTGAAACCAATCAACTCAATTACCCATTGGATTTGTACGTCGACGATGATCAGACGATTTATGTCGCTGATTATTCGAATCATCGTATTGTAGAATGGAAATCTGGTGCAACGAATGGAAACGTAGTTGCTGGTGGAAATGGAGCTCATCAATTAAACCTCCCACAAGATGTGATTATCGACAAAGAGAGCGATAGTCTCATCATCAGCGATTCCGGGAATAGAAGAGTAGTTCGATGGCCTCGTCGAAATGGTACTCATGGAGAAACAATTATTTCCAATATTGCTTGCTACGGTTTGACAATGGACGACAATAGTTGTCTCTATGTCGTTGACTGGAGACAAGATGAAGTGAGACGATATAAAATTGGTGACACTAAAGGAACAGTGGTTGCAGGTGGTAATGGACCAGGAAATCGTCTCGATCAACTCTCTCATCCCCGCTATGTATTTGTCGATCGAGATCATTCAGTTTATGTGTCTGATTGGGAAAATAATCGTGTAATGAAATGGGAAGAAGGTGTAAAACAAGGCATTGTCGTAGCCGGTGGTCAAGGAGAAGGAAATAGTCTTACGCAATTGACTAGCCCTTATGGAGTCGTTGTCGATCAATTGGGTACTGTCTATGTGGCTGATTTTGGGAATCATCGAATCATGCGTTGGCCAAAAGGAGTCACACAAGGAAGTGTCATTATTGGTGGAAACGGTCAAGGAGCACAATCGAATCAACTCAATTGTCCCATAGGTTTATCATTCGATCGACATGGTAATCTCTATGTCGTCGATCAGTGGAATCATCGAGTACAAAAATTTAATATCGAATGAAATTCAATGCGATGATGAATTTTATTATTTTTTTGTTCTCTTTCTCTTTCAAATAAATCGTGATTGAATGAAAATGATTTCATAGCTATTCTATTCTCTTCGCGCGCGCGACCAGGAACCATCCTGGTGGAGCCGTAGCGAGCGTAAAGCTCATGCACGCGCGGGAAGACCCACATCATTCACATGCATCCATCCGATGTCATATGTCAGTGAGTCTGGGGGCCCGATCGTGTGCCACGGACACCAAGACAGTTCCTGGCCAGGCTTTTAGGGACTACCCGGAAGTCCTTCTTATAAAGCGTAACCCTCACCTCAACGTACCTCACTCACCCTAACTATTTTCATCTCAACGAAGAAAAGAAAAAGAAAAAAAAATTAACTCACCCGTGGATGTTGAACGACGACGTCTTTAACAGGAAAAGAAAAACATGAATATAAAAGATCACAAGAGGACTTACCACCCTCTGTATAATCCAATAAAGAAAAAAAAACTGATACCTACATTTTTTTATTGTGTTGTATTGATTTGAATAGTATAATTTTGTATCGTCGAAATCATTCTAAAATATAAAAAGAAAAGATTAATATTTGATTCAATAAATTGAATGATTTTTACATGGAAAATCATGGCTATGTCCAAATTGCGAACAAAAATTAAGCCAATTAAGAAAAAAGTGTTCGCAATTTGGAACACAGAAAATAACGTTGATCTTATTTATATTGCGTTTCCAAATTGCGAACACTTTTTATAATTAAGTAATATAGTTTTGATTCTTTTTATTTGACAAGTCAATACCAATTTGTCATTTGAATATATAATAATAAATGAGAATAATGATGAACGAAAATAAAAAATAATATAATCATTTTTTTCCTGTTTTTAAATATTTTCCCTAGACTGAAAGGCTAGGGTCTAGAAACCGAAATTCACCTGTGTCTGTCTGTCTGTCCGTCTGTCTGTCTGTCTGTCGGTAACGCGGTCAAAATGGCCATTTTTTTGGCACATGTGACCAGTTTTTTGGCACAAACGACCATTTTTTTGGCACAAGCAACCATTTTCTTTGCACAAACGGCCATTTTTTTACTAAAATTAACTAGGTAACTATGGTACAAATGAGCATGTAACTATGGCACAAACGGTCAGTTTTTTGGTACAAACGACCACGTAACTATGGCACAAGTGACCATATAGCAACCATGGTACAAACAACTATTCCGGTAACTATG